TTTTTGTTTCTACTTTTGTATTTACTACTTATAAAAATTAAATAAAGTTATTGGCAGTGCCACATCGTTAAAAAAAAAAAAAATGATTTCAACTATTTTGACTATTTCAGATATCTGAAATGATCCATTTTGACTTCATGTATAGTTGAAATACCCGATAAGTAGTTTTTACCAGGTAATGAATCACTTGGTCTTTCATTTTATCTTTTTCAGTTTCTAGGTGAAAAAGGGTTATGACATCAAGGAACTCTAAAAGCTCAGATTAGATTATAATAATATGTCACAAATATACAATATGAGAGAAAGTATATATTCTAGGAGAAAAAGTTTAAAATGAAAATTAATTCTGAAATATATAAAACTATATATAAACCAACTAATCATAGATATCAAAAATGACATTTTATCAATGTCTTTATATTTTCAGGAGTGGTGAAGTTTGCAATCAGGGATGCTACTGACTGGAAAGATGCCAAATTTATTAGAATTCTTCCTTACGTGTACCTTGTAATAAATGCAATAAATTAACCTTTTTCAAATATAATACATGTGATATTCATACTAAAAAGTACTGTAAAATGGAATAGTACTATCAGAAAAAGCTGGCTGACTTATTTCGACACAGATACTGATAGGTAATTTAGAATAAATAAAAGTGATGTGAAATGATACAACTTAGCATAAGTATTATAAGAAAAAAAACTTATAACAGAAGTTGTGATACAAATGATAGGCTATTTAACAATATAAATTTGAAAGAACCCATTTTCAATAAGCATCACAGATATCAATAGCATCATAGGAAAAAATTCAAAGTTCCCGCTTACTTTTTATTTTTTGTCATGAAAAATTCCTATAATATAAATATATACATTATATATATATCATAGGAATTTTATATGACAAAAAAAATTTTTTTTTCTAGAACTTATTACTCTTTACTTGTGACATTATTGATATTAATAAGAAAAAAAGGAAATAGTGTAATAATTTCAAGAAGCATAATGAACCTGTCATATATAAAAGTTGTAATGCTTATAATACTAATTAAAAATTCAGCATATATATCTTCTAATAATATAGTAGAAAGATTATGCCTTGCTTTTGGTAATACTCAAATATTGAAAATATGCAAAAAAATAATTATGCTGAAGTAAATATAGTAATAATAGAATCTGAAAACTATCTATTAAGACGCTAGATTTCTGATATACAATTTGAGCTTACATTGACTTGTAAGGTTTTAAATATATAATTGGAAATAGATTCATTAAAAGAATAAGTTAATAAGCTCAAAAATGAAGATACTAGACTTAATAATATAACTAATTGTCAGAAGATTGAAAAACAGAATAAGATAGTAAGCTCTAGCGAAGTATTTTATTCTAATGCTAATCAATTCATAATAAATTATATTTTGACATAGCCTGAAAACATTTTTTGCAAATAAATATATTACTTTACTTTATATTAGGATTATTTTACTTAGTGTGAAAAAATAATGAGCAAATATTAAGTAATAATATTTTTAGTAAAAAATTTACACAAATGAATATTAACGTAAACAGGTACGAGTAAGTGGTAATAATAGAGAATGGCAATATAAATTAAATTAATTTAAAATTATAAGCAAGATGAAAAGCATTTGTGATGACAGGCTGTTGTTAAAATTTCAGCCTCATGCAATACATAGTATTACATTTGATAACTAATAGCTATTAATAGCTACTGAGAAATCAAGTTGTAGTAAATTATGATGATTTGATAAATTTTGGCCAGTACTATTTAATATATTTTTATTAGAATTTGTGATGGAATATTTTCGCAAGTAATTATCTAATTCATCTCAAATTTGGTATATAGATAGAGTAAGTGAAAGACTTTCAAATAAGCCTACCATCATATAAATCTAATTATTAGATGCGGAGTTATTAAAACTTAAATATTAGGCTAAAATTATACTATAGTACTGGCCAAAATTAGGCAAAATTTGTCAAATCATATGATATCATGCAGATTTCCATTGGATGTCATCTGATACTGAGTCACTCAACATATTTTTTTATCACAGGTAACCAAGCAGGCATAAAGGATAAACCACTGAATATAAAATCAAAAACCCATTCAGACACAGAAGGCTAAAATTCTCAATATAAATTTAGGTATCTAAATGGCTATAAATCACTACTAACAAGCGAATATCTATTTAATAATTGGGTAACCATAGACATTCACAATTGCAAAATATAATAGAAAGTATTTATCGACATAAAGCATATAATAAAAATAGGTATATTTAGGTTATTTAGATATAGATATATTTAGGTTATTTAATCACATGATCACAGTTTATATATAGGAAAAAGGTAACAAAAAATAATTTTAAAAGCAAAAAATATAGTAAGTAAAATGAGAAGATATAAAAAATTAACACAGTTAAGTTATTTAATTAGATTATTTAATCATATTTAGATTATTAACTTTTAGATTATTTAGTTATATTTAAATTATTTAGTAATACAGCGAACTCTTGATATAACGAATTCTAGGATCTGAATATCAACTTCGTTATAAGCTTATAACGAATTTTTTAAAGAATTTAATTGGCTAGTTCACTATAGTAAAGGTAATTTTAATATATTTGATTTAAAAATTCGCTATATTAAGAGTTCACTATATCAAGGTTTGACTGTATTTAGATTATTTAGTAATATTTAAATTATTTAGTTATATTTAAATTATTTAGTTATATTTAAATTATTTAGTAATTAAATAACTTAGTTCAAGTTGATTATGATTAAATACTGTAATTATATTATTTAATCATAATTAGCTCAAATTTTAGTTTATTAAAATCACTGTATTAAGAAGAATTAGAATCTAATATTAGTTTTTTAGTAGATAGTCTACTAAAAAAATTTTATTACTTAAATTTCATTAAGTAAAATATTTATATTAGTTATAAATTTGCATAAAACTGGTATTAATAATTATATTTCAAATTTTTATTAGTTATTCTTTAAGATTTGAGATTTAAAATAAATATAAAATCATATTTTTAGTATAGGCAAATAATGAGTTATAAGCTTTTAAAATTAAAATATTATATTAGGTGTTATATTACTTTAGAAGTAATGGTATCTTATTCATTCATAAAATTCTTTTAGTTGTGTAATTTTTTTTTAAGTTAAAATAAACATAATTTTATTATTAAAACTTTTTTGTTATTCTATAAAATAATAATACTAGTTATTTATTTTTTAAGAATTTCTTTAAAAAACTTATAAAAATAAAATTTGATAAGAAAACTTGATAAAGATTTTTTACTTACTGATTTTAAAACTTATTGTAAATGAATAGTTTAATAAAAGTAATTATATGAAAATTTATTAAAATATAAAAAATTTAAATTAGATCTTATTATTACTTGATGTATAAAAAAAAAATTGTAAAAATATTTTAATTTTAATTTCTTTTCTAGAATTTATCATATATCAAAGATAGTATTTATTATTACAAAATAATGAATTGTAATTTGTTTTAATATAAAATTTATATATCAAAAATTAAAATAAAATTATAACAATTATTAAATTTTTTTAATTATTTATGTATTTAATTTAATTAATTAATTATTAATAATAGTATAAATTTAATTTTAATATAATTAAATTTATTATTTTTTAATTTATTAAAAATTTTTTATTTACTTTTTATTTTAAATATACATATAATTTAAAGTATTTAACATAATAATAATTATTATATAATGTAGTAAGTATAATAGACTATTTTAAATAATATAGAAAATAGTAATTATATCAGAAATATTTATCTATATTAAATCATTACTTACATTAATTTAATATTAAAATTTATTACAAAATAAGTATAAAATTCTTATATTATAAAATTAATTTTAATTAAATAATAAGAAGTTTGCTATTTATTATCAGTAATGATCATTACCAGTATTAATCAACCAATAGTAATTACATTTAAGAAAGAATGAAACATAAATTTTTTAGTAATAACAAATTCTAAGTCTTTAGAATATATAGTAAAAATAAAAAACAAGAAGGTATGATATAGAGTGATAAATAATATATATAATATAAATATATAAATGTATGATACTAATAATTACTATTAGTAATATAAAGTAATTGTCAAATAATAATTTATTATTATATTTATATTAAATTTTATGAAAATTTTCTTATATTTATAAGAGACTTATTAGAAAAATGGATTTTAAGAATTTTTTATATAATTTTGATTTTTAAATTTCAATAAAATTAAATTAAAATACAATAAAAATAAAAGTTTAGTCAAAAATTCTCAAAATCCTATATTTATAATAACCTTCAACTTTTAATATTAATAAAATAGTTTAAATTTAAAGTTGTTAGACAAAATCTAGGGCTTAATCAATCATCTAAATGATAAAGATAAAGCTTGGTTAAATTATATTAAAATCTTATTAAAAATCTGTAAAATTTAGAAAAAATACAAAAATTTTAAATTCTAAAAATTAAATATATTATTATAAATCAAAAGATTATTTATGATAAATACATACTTTTTACAGAATATTATAAAAACTATTTATTAAATTATTTGTAATTATTATAATCATCATTTAAAATTAAAAATAAAACTTAATTATAAAATAATTATATTTAAAAAGGTAGATATTGAAGATAAATTTATTTATTCTATATATTTTAAAGGTTTTAATTATATTAAAGTATAATAATATATAATATGATATGAAAGATTGCCAATTTATGAATTTTTAAAATTAAACTTTATTGTATTTAGTTTTTAATACTGTTAGATTAAAATGATTTTTATTCAAAATCTGATAATTATTCTAGTTATAAATTATTTATTAAATAAATCATTATTAATATTAATTTTTACATTATCATTACTATTGCTATTTACTTTTTTACTAATATTCTTATTCATATTTATAAGGTTTTTAATTTCATTCAGAAATTCTTGTTTAGAATCTTTCCAATTATCTTTAGTCATAAAATTATTCACTAAGTCTTTATGATTTGTTTTTGCATTGTTTATTAAATTTTCATATTCAGCTTTTGTCTTGTTAACCAAGTTTTCATAATAAGTTTTCATATTATTCATTAAATTTTCATAATCAGATTTTGACTTATTAATTAAATTTTCACAGTCAATGCTTGTCATTGGAACATTTTTGTGAACTTTCAAATCAACCAACTTTCTTAATTTATGAGAAATGTATGGTGTATTATCTGATGTCGGATTATTGTCAATTTCTATAAGCTTTTGTCTAACTTCTTCAATCGGCATCTCATAAAATCTGGATAAGAAAAGAAGAAAGTAAAAAAAATATGCAAAAAAGGATCTCTTATACCACATGACGTGGCATGCAAATGACTTACATTACATCTGGAAACCAATGATTCCATCTTCTTTGATTTGGAAGTAAAAGAAAGAGTTCAATCTCAGCCAAAATCCTTGCTTTTTGAAGTAGAACCAAGGAATGTGCACGATTGATCTCAATTTCTAGGTTAAGCAATCCAATAAATAAATTCATTAGATAAACTACGATCAAGAATGAAAACATGGTTAACAATATTGTCATGAAAGGATTTTCATGATATGGCCATGAACTAAATGCTGAAGAATCTCCTGATAAAAATAAGTACATAGCGAAAAGTGAAGAATCATAAGTAGAAAACTGATTTATATTAGAATCGGGTTGTTGAATAAATGCAGTTTCAGAATTGATCTTGCCATCTGGAGACACCGATTGAAATTTGTTAACAAGGTTCCAAGGATTATTTGGATCCTTATTATAACTAGGTTCATCTAAATTATAACTTTCAAGTGGAGCCAAAAGAATGTAGAAAGCATGAGCAAAACTAATTATAATAAGGAATAAGATTAGTAAGAAAAAAAATATCCTTTTGGCCACGCCAGTAATAATGGTAAAGTAAGAACCAAAATAATGAAATGCTCGTAAAAACGTCATAAATTTAAAATGTAGGAATAGATTAGATATAGAAATCAGCGGTAATGGAGGTTTTCCGTGAGATAACCAAACCATGGCGGTAACAACCGGGAAAAAATACGCACATAGGTCTAAAAAATCACAAAATCAAAATACTATTAGTATGTATAAATATGATGATAAATGTTAAAAAAAAATTATACTAAAACAGCTTTGTATTTACCAAACCAATTCCATGGATCTGTAATATATTTATACCAATTCCAAACAATTTGTCTTACTTCGTGAAAGATGTGAAACAAACCAAGAATAATGCTAATAAATAAAAAACGGTCAATCCCAACATTTGATATAACCGATGAAGATAATGTTGAAACGATTCCAAAAGAGAGTAGAAACATGGTAAAAAATCCCCAGAAAAGGCAATAATAATATCTTCCAAAGGTATGCCATTTGAAATTGAGTAATGCCTCAGCATTCCAACTTTCATAGAATGCTTGATCATCATCCAAGGTGACAAATTGATTGTCCTTTGGCTTAATAAAGTCCATCCAGAAACTATACTTTGAAGGGTAAGTTGTAAAACCCAGGTAAGGAATAACAAAACTGATAACCCTTGTTTTTTTATATTTCGTAATATTCGAATAATCGTAATAAATCCGGTGAATGTAATTCCAAAAATTCTGAATGAATTTATATTTATAGATCTGAACCGTATAAACATGTTCAGTATAACCGACCATCTTCCTTCTATCGGATAAATAAGATTTATGCACATTTGGATTTGGAATAAATGAGGTAATCGAAAGGAACTTTGCGTAATGAGTCGGAAATTCCAAATTTAACCTTTGCAAATATTTTGTGATAATATTACAGATTCTGTAATGCGTCATAGTATCTTCGGTAAACGATTCATATAATTTGTTAAGGCAAGTGCCTAAAGTTTCACTACCCTTCCGAACGAAAGCGTGACAAATAATGTCATCACTCATCTCTACGAGATGCTTTTTTGAACAAAGAATTTCACTAATTAAATCCAATTTATTCTGATATGGTAGATCATTTAAATACTTTATGCATGGATTTGGAAGCCTTTTACTCTTAAGAAATTCTTCAATATCATTATAATAATATCTGGGAACAATGTTATTGGTTTTTTCATTAAAACCAAAAACATGAATATCACAATCACTATACAATACTAAATCATCATTACTTAAGATTTTAAGATTTCTAAAATTAATGCTGAGATCAAGGTCAAGACAAATTGTCTGATCATTTTGCAATTCGTCCTTTATATAAACTTGCAATCGATTCTTATTTTGATTCTTATCTTGATTCTTATCTTGATTCAGGAATTCCCATTTCAATTTTTTCCCTTTACAATGGTAACCTACAGGGGTATTATACGAATCTTTGATATCATTGAAACTTGAATAAATCACTAGGTTGTTATTATTCTTCATCTGGTCATATAGCTTCTTAATAATGTCCTCGGGGACGTTAAAGTCGATCAATTTGATTTTATTCTCGATCGTAAACATAAGTTGACATTGCAACGTTGAAGCCCCTAAAATCATGTAATTTCGAATGTAACCGGTTACAAGAATGAATTTTTGAATATCATATTCACCCTTACACACGTGTGAAAGATCATAAGGATTCATGATCGTATATTTGATTGTGTGCACACTACATGAATATAAGATCAATATTTCAGTATCATTGGCATCCATAAATTGTAACTTTGAATCATAAACGTCAACTTTTCCTATATATATTATCGGTCAGTTAAATATCAAATCGTTAGTGAAAGAAAGAAATAAATAAAATCAAAAGGCTAATGATTAACTCACTTGATGAGATTTGAAGTCCATTCTTCATTGAAAAGACGTATATCCAAGATACGTCCGATTTGTTCAAGTATTTTGGGTAGTCTGTTGTTAAATGAACCGCGAATAAATTTCCTTCACTATTGACCGCTCCCTCCCATCTACAATTCACGGAACCGATGACCATTTTTTCAGTTATTTCTGGAACGATATGGTGATTTTCGATATTCCTGTTCTCGGTGTTTAATTGATGTATGATATTTTCATTCAGGAGGGTAAGAAAAATTTGTCCATTTATTTGAACAACGTAACTAATATCGATATCTTCCACTCCCCAAAGGTAATATCTTGACGAATATGAGTAAGGAGTTTTTCTTGACTTTCTCAATGATGCCTCTGAATACACATATATATACGGCTCTTGTATCAATAAAAGGTTTCCATTTGGAAGAAATTGTAAAAAACTTCCATCACTTGGATGAGGAGTTATCGTAATATTTTCAAAAGTATTCATATTTCGAATAATTAAATTAGAATAATGATCACAATAATGACCATATACATGCGATTTATAACCAAAAATCAATAATTTATTGTTTGATAATCCGAGTAACGAAATGGGGTCATCGAATTCAACACGGCACCTTTCATCAATGTCAATGATCCTATCATACAAATCAACGTTCCATATCGCTAAAGAACTATCATAATGACTTGTAACGACATATTTCAAATTTGATGAAATAACGAACGATTCAATTGCTGCAATTTTACCAATTCCGCTATCAATGATAATATCTATTCTATCAGATTCGGACTCAATGCATTCCATCTAATCGATATGATCCAGAAGTACGATGCGTAAAGGGTAAAGCAGTCCAAACTTCTCGAACTTATATATATTTTTTGCATGGTTACACATAGATTTATTAAATTAATCTATGCAAGGAGCGCAGGGATGGGGTACCTTGTTCCTGTAAAATTATTTTCAGTCCACATTTTTGTTCATCACAAAGTATTGTTATTTTTATTTTATTTTTCTATTATACTGGTTTTATTTATATTATAGCAAAATTTCAATCAAATTGGGAAAGATACTCTAGTTGTGGGCTTAGCTATATTGTAGTTAGATTCGGCATTATTTATTGCATCTCGGATATCCGACAGCCATTTTGGTTGGTTTGACCGAACGTGGTTCCTTTTTTATTTATGGTTCTTCCGAATGATGGTTACACAATGGATTTAGTTTATTTTTTATAAGAGAAATAAACGGTATTTATTTTGGTTTTTTTTAAAAAAAAATGAAACAATGATTATCTCGCTAATTTAAAAAAAAAGAAATGCATAATTATGTTCAGTCAATTATTCTCTTGACAAAAATCAAAAATTTATTCAAGAAAAATGATTTTCTCCCCATATAGGGATAAAATTTATTTATGTATTTATAGTCACACCAAAACTATAATTTTTGACAAACTACGCAATAGATCGGCCGAAAATTGAGCCCCTAGATGATTGGTTGCTGAATTACTGAAACGATTCATCAGTTTTTTCACCTTGTATACACATCACATCATCACAAATATGGTTGGTTACATTTTTTTGGTCGATCCGTCACCGAATATACACAATAAAATTTTTGGTCTCGCAGCAAAAACAGGAAAAGGCAGGGCGGTTCTTTCAATCAAGTCGAATTTCAATTAATAAATGACAAGAAAATAAAAGGTTGATTTGTCAACGTTATCGATTACGATTTCGGAATCTTGATGATGTAAATTAATTTCTTCTGATTTTCTTGATATTTTCTTGTTATAGCGATAGTAATTTTCCACATCTTTCATTTCTTAATTATAAATTATATATGAATCAAAATAAAAAGTATTTTAAGTAATACTAAATTGTAAACAATTTAATTAAATCATTTGAAATTTTAATGTATTTTTTTTTTTATATTACAAAATATAATAAAAAAAAAAAAATAAATAATACTCAAATTTAATTTTCATCAAAATTTTATCAAATTAAATTTAAAATTATTATATCAAAAGTATAATTATTATAATAATTAATTAATAATTAACTATTTAAAAACCAATAAACATTTTCTTAAAAATAATAATAAAAGTATTTTAAAAGATAATAAAAAAATAATTAAAGTTTTAAATATTAAATTATTTATTTAATATAAATAATATATAAAGTTTATAAAACTTAAAATTTAATCTAATTTGAAGTTTTCAATTAAAAAATTATTTATGAATTTAATATCTAAAATAAAAATTTAAAAAAATAATTAATAAATAAAAAAA